CATGTCAAATTGCAGGGTTAACATCATATTAAAAGAGTAATTTATAAAATTTAAATTCTTAATTATTTAGTCTTACCTATGAAGCACATAACTAGCAAAAACACAGAGACAGCAGCTTGTGCATTACCATATTGAAAACTTGGATTATGTTTTTCTTTCGACATAACATTACTATCAAAAGCAATCAGTAGTCCAGATATAATAGCTGGAACTCCCCAAGCAAATGTTACCTGAAATATCAAAGAAAAATTATTAACATAATACATTTAAATTTTTTATTAAGAATTGTTATTAACTATATAACTCACCATATAAGGCCAAAGCTTTAGCACAAAACACAAACTGCGGCATTGTAGAAATAGCAAAGTAATCGCTAAAATGCCAGTCCATAAACGACTACTATAACTGCCTATATTAAATAGGAAGAACTGTATATAATGTTGCCATGTTTCAAAGTGTTCCAGTTTTGACCACAGAATAACACCAATGCAACACATTAGCTATAAGAGAAATAAGTAAAGGTTTATATATATATAGTATAGTAATATTTTTATAGAACTAAAACGTAAAACATACATATATATTAAAACTATACTATTTTGAGTACATAAAGGTTAGTATATATTTTATTTAAAAATATGTAAAGTATTAAGAAATGTAGACAAGCATTTATTTTAACACCAGTGGTTATTAACATCATCCAAATAAAAGTAATAATAACATATTTTACCTTCATATGTCCACATTGTGCAGTTTATTTTCCTTTTCTAGTGATTTTAATTAAAGTTGGTTCTTAAAAATAATCACTAACAATAACTACCGAAACCAACAATACTAAAGTTAAACTTTTAAATTAACCTCAAAGTATATTTTATAAGAATTTATAACAAAATGATGAAAAAGAAAGAATAAAAATTGCAAAAGAACTATTAGCTAAAGTAAGGTTTTTGTGCGGAAAAAAAAATGTGTTGAACGAAGAAAATAAAAAAAGGGCTAAAGTATTTGTTTAGATATAAATCTAGTATATTTTAGCTTAATGTTAATGATTGAAGTTAAATTTTTATTCGCTGTTAAATGTATAAACTAACTACAATTTGTTTTAAATAAACTATGAAAATAAAGAATATTACTTGAGAAAGCACCAAGCATGCTGTGATCCGATGTGGCATACGTTTTAGGCGTTTCGACGTTATGAGCAATAATAGAACCCAACCACAGGCTGCCACACCCGCAATACTAATGTCAAATGAAAAGGCGTCTAGTTCATGTAGATAATCCACAGGATTGAGATTCGTTAAAGAAATCATTTTCGCAGAGATAAACATTAAAGGTGCTGAAATAAATGTGCAAAGTACCATACTTTGAGCAATCTGAAAAATAAGAAGAATTTAATAAAAGATATTAATTTTGTATTTTATTTTAGTGTTTGACATACCAGTTCAACTTCAACATTGTATTGAGATGCAATAACAAAAGCGCCAGGGGCGGCTGGAAAAGTTCCATACAGAAATCCATAAGTACTTAATTCAGTAGTGTCATTAAAATCTGTACCAGCTTGCATTATATTAACTGTTTGTCGACAAACTAAAGGTAATACCAATCTAAAAACAAAAAACAGATTGATAAATAACAAATTTCATTTTTAAAAAGTAAATTTAAGTTTTAATACATTTTTACTAAAATTAGAATCCCAGGTAATAAAAATGCAGAGCCATTCAAGGATTTGTTACCGCCTTGTCCCACAATTTTCAATCCCAATAAAAATAGTGCGGTTGCAGAAAATGATTGTCCAAAAACTCGTAGTACACATGCTACCAATTCCGGTAAGCCATTGGGAAAGATAAAACCACCAGCAATACCCAATAAAGTCATAGTCAGTAATGGATTAAAAAATAATGACTTCAACATATTCAAAATTAATATGCTGCGTTCATTCAAGCATTGTCTTTGCTTTGACATTTGTTCTGCTGGACAGGTTTCAGGACATCTTGGTGCTTGTTCTCTCTGTGAATAGATAAAATTATTACATAATTATTATTATACATATACTGGGTTGTTCAACAAGTTCACGGAGTACATATCAATAGTATAACTAAAACTTTCACGTAATTTAATGTTTCACATTTTATGAGAACATAGTCAAAATCTAATTTCGATCTGTTAATTCTGTACAATAATTAAATCCTTTAAAAAAAAAAAATTTACAGGTATAGAAATTCATACTGAAATAAATATGTTAGGCGAAACTTTCAAAAACAATGATTTTTATGTGGGTTTACTATTTTTTTTTTTTTTGTAAAACATACATTTATTTTTTGCAACTGCTCTTAGAATGAGACTAACAATAAGTTGTAAAATCTTATAACTAATTACATAATATTACAAATTCTTATTTTAACTATACATTGTATAAAATAAAATAAAACAAGTAAACCTTGTATCACGAACCTCACTTAGACTAATGGGTTAAATTTCATTGGAGAGAATGTTAGGTGGTTTCTTAAGAAAGTGGTTCAACTTTATCAAATTACTAAAAAGAAAGGTGCGGTTATTACTTAAAGTTGTTGTATATTAATTAATGGCTGGACGATCAGCTCTTTTTAGGCGGGAAGTAATGGATAAAAGTGCTAAAGGATTAACATGTTCTATCAGCCTTTTATTGTATTTTTTTCTTATATTGTCAAATTCAGCTTTAACTAGGGGAATTCGTAGATCTCGGTGTATACTTTCATTCCTAATATACCAGGGGGCACTAGTGATTATTCTTAGTATTTTTGACTGAGCTCTTTGTACAATTTCAATATTTGAAGCACTAGCATTACCAAATAACTGGATATCATAAGTCCATATTGGTTTTATGATGCTGTTATACAACAGTACTTTATACTCTAGGCACAGGGAAGATCTGCTATTAATGAGCCAATGCAACTTAGAGGATTGGAGCTTCATCTGAATTTTTTTGGCTTCAATATGTTTGCGCCAAATTAGTCGTCTGTCTAGGTGGATACCTAAGTACGTTATATTATCTGCTTGTGGTATGGGAATGTTGTTTAGTAAAATTGTTGGAGATGTACTCTGATTTAAGGTAAAAATGACGTGTCTACATTTTACTTCGTTAATTTTAATTCGCCATTTTGACAACCATTTCTCCATCCGATATAAGTGAGATTGAAGTTGGTTTGAAGCTAACACAGTGTTTCTGTTTCGCCATAAAATTGCCGTATCATCGGCAAACGTTGTGGTGATAACTGAACTACTTATTGGGATATCAGATGTGTAAAGTACATACAATATAGGGCGAAGAACACTTCCTTGTGGAACGCCAGCTTCTATTGGGAAATTATTAGAAGTATATGATTTGCATTTCACTTTAAAGCTTCTATTATGCAGATACGATTCTAGAACTGAGTGGACATTTGCCGGTAATGAATAGCGTATCTTATATATGAGTCCATTATGCCATACTTTATCAAATGCTTGTTTAACATCGAGGAATACCGCGGAACAATATTCTCTGAGCTCAAATGCGTGTCTTATTTCATTCGTTATACGATTCACTTGCTCAATAGTTCCATGTTTTTTCCTAAAATCAAACTGGTGGGACGGTATTAAGTTTTGAACGTCAAGGAACGATTTTAAATTTAAAAGCAGTGCTCTTTCAAAGAGTTTAGAAAGGCATGGCAGTAAGCTTATTGGCCTGTATAAAGAGGCAAGCGTGGGGTCTTTACCTGATTTATGAATCATAATAATCATGGATGTTTTCCACTCTGTTGGATAAAAGCCAAATTTAATTATAGCATTAAAAATTCTTGTGATAAAATTTATAGCCTAAAGGGGTAAATTTTTTCATCATGTTGGGTGAGATATTATCATATCCCGGTGTCTTTTTGCAATCGAACTTCTTTGTGATTATTTGCACAAAATCATTGGCCGTTATATGCATGTCAATAGATGGTGCATGTAGATGCTGAGTAGGAAAGTCATAATGTCCTGTTGCAGGATTTGATTGGAACGCCTCTTTTAGATAATCAGCAAAAACGTTAGATTTTTCTTCATCACTTCGCGCCCAGTTTCCAAGAGAGTTTCTTATTGGAGAATCAGAGTCTATGGGAGAATATATACCTTTGCTAACATTCCACAAAGATGAATGGTTTTTGCCATTTGGACATAGGTTTTAAATATAGTTATATTGTCTGACTTTGACTTCCTTGCTTAATGCAGATCTAAGTCTCCTTTGGGCTTCCTTAAATAAGTTTTGTGCTAAAGGGGACCTAGATTTTTGCCATTCACGCCTTAACCTACGTTTTTGTAAAACTAAATTCTCTATGTCACTATTTGTAAGTACTCTATTGAATCTGTAAATTTTATTGCCTTTAGGGGTGGAGTTTTCTGCTGCTGAAATCAGAATTGAGTTTAAAACCGAGGTTGCGTCCTCAATATGAGACTTACACTTTATCTTGTAATTTGTGTGTATGTGTGTTTGTTCTAGGACTTGTAAGGCTATAGGAACAGTCATATAACTGAGGACCATCAAGTAAGCAAAATGTAACTCGAGAATGGTCAGAAGACAAATCGCAGCTAGTGTATGTTGAGATAAAATTTTTGTTTATGCCTTTGGTTACGGCGAAGTCTATTAGGTCTGGTATTTTATTGTTATCAGCAGGCCAATATGTTGGCTGCCCAGGAGAGATTACGTCTAGTGCATTTTTTCTATTTAAAATAGAATTGTAGAGCTGTTTTCCTTTTGGATTACAGAGTCGTGAACCCCAATACGTGTGCATGGCGTTGTCTCCCACCGCAAGAAATCTTTCACCTAGAGTTAAAAAGTGATCCGTAAGTTGGGTCTCAGTAATGTTGAAGCGAGGAGGGCAGTAAACTGTCGATAAAGTTGAATTTTTTCCTGTGTGCTTAAGGCATATTGATGTGGCTTGCATATAATTATGAGCATATGTACCTAGAAAATTGTGTTTTAGACGCCTTCGTATCAAAATACCTGTACCACCATGTGCTTTGCCATCTGGGTGATTGGTTTTATAGGGTTTACTATTAACATCAGAAATTTTCGTTCTAATACACAATTTCGAAAGATCGTTGATAGAACGAGATCTATGTACTTTGATCTTCTATGTACTTCAGTGATCATAATGAATAATATTAAGCATCAATTGAAAAATCGCTAACAATACGAATGCAACTATATCAGCAATATTTAAAGAAAAGATAAGAACGGCTTATCAACCGTGTCAGTGAATTAAAGTACATATTGTTGTCAAACTTTTGACATCATTGATTCTGAAATAAAGATCGCATCGGGTTTGCTTCCCATTAAATTGGTTTCTGCAAAAATACTCAATGGTCTCAACCGAAGTCGACCTTGTGCGTGCAGTGCATTGATAAACCTCAATCTCACGAAGAGTTTGACACAGCTTCCTATACCACCCAAACATCTATTCCCATATCTATTCTTATACCATACTTGACCCAAACACCTATCCTTTCTATTTGTATGCATATGCAATATTATACACGTATACAATATAACATAAAAGTTAATATTTGCGGCCTCTCAAATCCGGTCCCTGCGATAAGTTTCATTAATGGCATAATCATGCGATATTATTTGATCGTCTGATTGCTACGGGACATCAACGGGTTTGTCAGAAAAAATCCCATTTGGCCTTCATAGCCCTTAACTTTATAAGCGTACAAGTGATCGACTTATACTTTCGCTACTGACAAAGAGTCACGTTTTTGCCTTTTATTTTTATTAACTTATATAATATATATTCCTCTCATGTCTCCCACTATATTGGTCTCAATGGTTTAGAACAACATCAAATTATTACGTTTCCTTATTATTTCCTTCGTAAAAAAAAATTTTAAGCATACTATTGAGGAGAAAAAATTCATATATCGTAGAGTCGTTGGCATAGATACTTTAAAGGGGATTATATATATAAATTTATTTTTATTCCGTAAACTTATTGAAGAATTTACATATATATATATTTATATAAATACGAGTAAATATACTTACCAGTTCATTTTTAGTATTTGACATTTTTGAGATCTCCATCAATACCAAACCAATTGGATTTAGTATAGCCAATGATATTGGCGCCATCAAATACAAGTATGATGCGTATTCTGGATGTATATTCTCATATAAAGCCATAACTAGAAAATTTAAACATTTTTAAAAAACATGCTTTTAAAATAATTCAATTAAAATTTTACCTATTGGATAACCGATAGCAAAATCATTACTCTGTGTACAAAATATACCCAAAAGTCCAGCACGTGCATAGTTCAATGGTCGTACAATAAGTAATGAAATAATTAACACCGCAAAGAAAACAACGGATTTCGAGATAAGCATGGCCAGTAAAAATTGCCAATTCACTGTATTCCAATTTAACTCCACCAATGAGAGAAATATTAAAGATGGTAACGCAAACGTGCCCACAAAGGTACTAAGACCTTTCGTTTCAGCATTTGATATAATTTTAAAACGTCCAGCAATATAACTGAAAATAATAAAAATATATATATAAAAATAATTATTTAGTGATTTTAATTATATTTCAATTCAATAGTTAGAATTTATTTAAATTTTTAATTACAATAAATTTTATAACAAATTTTGCGAGAGCTATTAGTTCATTTTTTATGTATAATCTATTAGTTTAAAACTGCATGCAGAAATCCTAGCCATTATTCAAATTAAGCGTTATATATCAATGATTATATGTACTAATATAGACTATGTCTTTGAAAAAGTGCTTTATAGATATATTTAATGTTATAAGGTTTTAAGATCATTTCACCTACTTTCTTACGTTCTTTCTAAGTTGCTCTTCCCATAGTAGTGTTTCTTAAACAACACGTGTACTACGAGCTGGAAAACGATTCAATGTATTTTACAAGGACCGGTAAAATGTTCAATGTGTTTTGAATCGGTCGACTCTGAGACAAATAGTTGTTAAACCCTAATCTATATGCTTCGTTTTGTTTTCAATTAATATGAAAATATTTGTTTATAATCTATACATTGTGGAAAACTGATGAGATTGTAATGAAAGTTGTTTTAAGCTATTTCCTAGAGTTTTAAGAGTAATGATAATTGGTGTTTTTAATGATTGTTGTATTATACCAAACAAAAGTATGGAATAGTGATTGAGGTTGAACTGATTTTGAACTATTTAGTGTTCAGTGCTTCGAAAAGAATATTAATTTATATCAAAAAATATTAATTCATAAATATATTTTTGTCAATATTTTACGTTTTAATTTTTTTACTCAATTTCCCATATTATTTTATAATATTAAAGTTTAAAATAACTTTTTATATTGTCAAAATCGGGTCATACGTTTGGTTGAAAAAAACTGCGTTGCTGAGCATTGCATTTCGTGTTGTGATATAAATAGTGGTATCATACATCAGATTGTTAAATTTTTCAGAAATATTTCACTAATACCGTTCATATAATCATATATGTACATCAGGGCTGTCCAAAGCACGGCCAGCAGGTAATGCTTGTGCAGCTCGCGACAGATTTTTAATGTACCACAATTACGCAAATATTCTTTTGGTGTACTGGTAAGACTATATTATTTGATTTTTTGATAAATTTTGATAAATTATTAAAACTAAATTTAAAATTTTAACCGTATTTTTTTTTGTCGAAAACAATTATCAACGTATGTATTTGTTTCGGTAGCCCTTCAATGTGTACAGTGATTTGTATTGGCCCGCGATCGTATCTGGTCTGGACAGCCCTGATATACGTAAACGCATAAAATTATACAGTTGATAAGTTTATATGTTTAGATGAGTATCCTTATTATATTATATACCTATATATTATACATATATTATATTATATTATACATATATTATATTATATTATACATATATTATATTATATTATATTACTTTATAAATATTGTTTTATGTATGACATCGTATTATTATTATATTATAACACTTTTTATATTATACTACTTTTTTTATATGGTATAATATAATATACCATACCATATAATATATATTATTTTATATTATATTATAAGATTTTATTATATTATATTATATTATATATTATATTGTATATTATATTGTAAATTATATTATATTGTATATTATATTATATTCTATATTATATTATAATATATATTATATTATAATATATATTATATTATATTATATTATATTATATATTATATTATATTATATTATATTGTATATTATATTATATTCTATATTATATT